GGGGGGGGGGGGGTCGATTTACTGGGATTCTGTTTTGGGGAAGATGGAGACCGTTTTTTATTATATATATAGCGTCTTTTGTTAAGACGCTATATATATAACGCCTTAACAAAAGGCGCTATATTTTCTCGCTTAAATTAATTCAAATATAGCGTCTTTCAAAAAGACGCTATACTTAATTGGCCAAATAGACGTTAAGGTATAGCGTTTTTCAAAAAAAAAAAAACTATATATATTTTGGTCACTAAGTTTTTTTTCCGTATATTTTTGTTCTTTGAGTCCAAAAGAACCGTAAAAATTGCACGGGGTGCCCTATTTGGTCGCCTCCATTTAACCTATACCCTAAAAACTTTTAAGTTGTACCCACTTTTTAAATAACTTCAGCCCCTTTTCTCCTCCTCATTCTCTTCCTTTCTTCTGCTGCTATTGGCGTAGATTATTTTTTAGGTAAAATTTCTTTTAAACTATTGGTGCATAGAAGTTAAAACTTTCTTTTGTACCTTTATATGATTAAAAAAGAAATTATTTTCCATAGTTTCTTTTGTGAGTGAAACTATCAAGATACCATTGTTAAGTGACGACGTCTTTGCATTTTAATCGTATTACGGAGCTCATTATTTGTTCTCGCAATTAGGGATGATTAATTTGCATTTATTTACTTCTTTTTTGGGATTGTTTTGATAAATATTATTAAGGTGAAAGTTGTTTCTTGTAAAGATAAATTGAGTATGTTAGCACATAAAAATTCTTGAGCCCGATGCTGAGATTTTACCCCAAAGATTTTAGCAAACTAGCAAGTTGTTTGATGGATGGATCCCCAGCTTATTTGAGCAGATCCTATTCTAAAGCTAGCTTCCAAATAACTTCAGCTCTAGAGTTGAAGTTCGACAGTTACAAAATAAAAACTTCAGGTCTAGAGCTGAAGTTCATCAGTTACAAAAATAAAAATTTCAGCTCTAGAGCTGAAGTTCGCTAGTTACAAATAAAAACTTCAGCTCTAGAGCTGAAGTTCGACAGTTACAAAACAAAAACTTTAGCTCTAGAGCTGAAGCTTACAAACAAAATCTCCAGTTACAAATAAAAACTTCAGCTCTAGAGCTGAAGTTCGACAGTTACAAAACAAAAACTTTAGCTCTAGAGCTGAAGCTTACAAACAAAATCTCCAGTTACAAATAAAAACTTCAGCTCTAGAGCTGAAGTTCGACAGTTACAAAACAAAAACTTCAGCTCTAGAGCTGAACTTCAGGCCTGACTACTAGAATGCTGAAGTTTTGCGTGATTGCCTTTGCTATTTCAGCCCCGTATGCTGAAGTTATGCGAAAAAACGAGTACACTTGCAATTTTTTTGCAAAGCGAGCACACGTTAAAACGTGACACAAAAAACGGGTATATATGCAAATGCCCCAAAAGAACCACATTTTGGACTCCTTAAGGGTTATGAGTTCACTTGAACTCATACTCCTTTCCTTAAACAATGCATAATAATATTATATTTCGTTAAAATTACTTAAATATATGTGTGTGCACTCATGCTTAAAAACTCCTATAGTGTAAGAATTACTGTGTGTACCTCTACAAGTGAAATTGATAGTTCAAATTCCACTTTGGACGATCTTGTTTTTGGCACGGAGTATGTATATATATATATGTGTGTGTGCGCGTGTGAAAATCACTAAAATTTCGAAAATAATATAATTTTGAACCTATAATTTCAAAAGTGTAGTGGATTTATGGTAAGAAACTAAAGTTAAACCGCCAAATATAAATCCTTGATAAATCTCTTCACAATAGTGCACCTATCATCTTGAAATCTTGCATTCGCCTGGCGGAACTTATCTAACAAAACGGTCTTGCCCCCTCCAAACATTTAAACTATACGATTTAGTAGATGCTTAATTAATATCACGACTCACGTCTGATTGAGACTAGCATAGAGACTGCCGTAAAAATTTAAATCTCACATTTCAATTACTCCTCTATAATAAGCACTAAAGTTTAAAGATCACCCTTTTTTCAGTTAAAGATGACATTTGACAAACTAAAAAGAGGTAAAAAGTTAAAAAAGGAGGTATAACACTAGATAAATCTCCAGATCTCCTTTAACTCGAGATCCTTGATTTCGTTTAAAAATTGTTAATTTATTTTGAATTAATATTGTTTAAGGGTCAAATCTAATGTATTCATTATGTACGATACAATATTGTCAAAAGAGTGATAACTAACTTTAAGTATTGAATAATTTCAGCTTTTGAAATACCAGCTTTTGAATAATTATTAATTATTTTCACATTTTTAGACTCCTACAAGAACACTTTGATATTTGTGCGACAAGTGCAAGTGCATCAGGGTTTTCCTTTTTTGAACTATACAATTAGTTGACCAATTTTTAAAAAATATACAGTTATACTAAGTTTAAACAGTCACAAAACGATAGTGGGTGCAATAGTTTTTCCTACATACTAGTTCAAATTTTTTTTACTGCCTTGCCAGTAGTTCAAATACCAGAAATCAGATAAACAAAGGTAAATTAGATTCAAAATTTTAAGTTATGAAGTTGACCTTTGACAAATATATGATTTTATTAACTAAATCACTAACTTTCATTAGAAAAATATCAAAAAGAAGAAGCCTGGATGCAGCATCTGTGCCAATGGTATCCAATATTTTCAACACATAGCTTGAATATATATGTGAAATTAATGCAATTTCGACAAATATTGAATTTAAACCTATAATTTGAAAAGAACGACTAGTCAAGTGCTATATATTTTTGAAGGTTGAATTCATCAAAATTAAAATCTGGATCTGGTTCAAGACAGAGGCGGATGAAGTGATTAAGTATCGGGTTCAGCTGAACCTAGTACTTTCGATGCATAACATAAAAATATTATAACAAATATCCCATATATAAAGGTTATTGACACTTATTTTTTTGGGGGTGATCTTGGACAACATGCACATGAAATCGAACGGCATAGAAATTGAAATTACCTATACTTATTATTATCATATGAAACTACACTCTACTTCTATTATTTGAGAAGGCTCCTATTTATGAACATAGGACTTAGGGAAACTGCATTAATGGCAAGAAGAATCCAAACAGCACCATATATAGTTGCCATTCTGCTGATTACCGTTCTTGACTCGTGTTATTCCTCTGTTCTTCCACCGTTTCTTCTCAGCTTTATTTTCAAAAAAAAAACTTCCCTCCTCTTTAGATTTCTTATTCAGTGAAAAAATAGTGAATAGACAAAAATGGAGACAAGCTCAGTTTCCAAGTTCTTCATAGTTTATACTATTTCATTGCTAATGGTAGCTCAGTTGATTTGGTGCAAAGTCACTTATGATAAGAAGGCCATTATTATTAATGGCCAAAGAAGAATTCTTCNTTCCCTCCCCCTCCCTTTCTTCCCGATCGTCCTTAATTGTACCATGTTCCACCACGCCCCGCATGTGTTAGCTTGATTCCTTTTCTTGGTCCAAACACGTGTAAATTCTTTTTGCTATGGGTGGCGGATGAGATTTGAATCCGGAAATGTGCCTTTGCTCTTATACCATTTTAGATTATGTGTACATTTATCTAAAGTTTAAACTGAGAACACACTTTTAATTATTTTAATTGTATTATGTCTCAACAGTTTTGCCGAACCCAAGTTGCTTAGGACTGAGGCATAGTTGTTGTTGTTTATGTCTCAATAGTTTTGGCCGACCCCAAGTTGCTTGGGACTAAGGCATAGTTATTGTTGTTGTTTATGTGTCAACAGTTTCCATTACTATATTCTTGGACGGATAATGTTACTCTACTATATTAATAAGGATAAATTTTAATTAAATGGGTGTTTTGCAGATGTGGGAAGATCTCATAAACAAGGCTAAAGATGCAAACTTGGATGTCATTGAAACTTATGTTTTTTGGAACATACATGAACCTTCCCCAGGCAATGTGAGTGTTTCAATTTGCCCACAAAGACTTAGCTTCTTACTGCTGAAAGATGTCACCTTTATTTCTGCTAGCATATTGCTACTAATATGCTATGTTTCTTTTGGACAGTATGATTTTGAGGGGAGATATGATCTTGTAAGGTTTATAAAAACTGTGCAAAAAGCTGGCCTTTATGCACATTTGCGCATTGGACCTTATGTTTGTGCTGAGTGGAATTTTGGGTAATAGATTGTCTTTCCCCTTTGTTTTTTGTTCCTAGTTCCCCTTGTTATTTCTTTGATTTTCTTGGTTAATTTCAAGAATGAGTTCATGATTCTATATATCTTTCATCTACTGCAGAGGATTTCCTGTATGGTTGAAATATGTTCCTGGTATCAGCTTCAGAACCGATAATGAACCTTTTAAGGTTTGTCCGTCATAACAGTAGAATCACAAAACTATCTTTTGTCACATTAAAGTAACTAAACATTACCCGTTATTATGCAAACAAAGCACCAATTTTGCCGATATTTGAACATGTTTGTTCGTAGCATCATTGTTTCTGTTTGTTTTTGACTCTGATAAATATAATGTGGTAATAAATTGATAGATTCTGATCATGAGTTGCAGTAATGACATTTCAATTCTTTTTGTTGTAAAGGCGGCGATGCAAAAATTCACCCAAAAAATAGTTGAGATGATGAAGAGTGAAAGACTGTTTGAATCCCAAGGAGGTCCCATTATACTGTCTCAGGTATGAAACTGACACAGTAGTGGTGCTTTGAAACTTATCGAACTTCTGTTTTCTGAATGCATGATATATTGCACAGCTGTTCTGCAAGTATTCTAAATTTGTTTTGGTTAGATTGAAAATGAATATGAACCAGCAAGGAAGGCGCTTGGAACGGCTGGCGAAGCATATGTCCAATGGGCTGCACAAATGGCTGTTGGATTAGATACTGGAGTTCCCTGGGTTATGTGCAAAGAGGATGATGCCCCTGATCCTATCGTGAGTTTTCTTCACCTTATTCTCAGTTTTGGTTATTCACTTATACATTGTTATCTCGGATTTAGGAATAATGTTCTTGAAACCATTGACTGAGGATTCTAAGCATGTGTCTTGATCAGATAAATACATGCAATGGTTTTTACTGTGACGAATTTTCTCCCAACAAACCTTACAAGCCAACTATGTGGACTGAAGCTTGGAGTGGCTGGTAATTATCTTGTTTCTCAAAGACTTGAGTAATGCAAATATATGCTCATTTTTATGAACTGATTCTCATATTCTTCTTTGTTGAGAGAAGGTTCACTGAATTTGGTGGCACTATACCTATGAGGCCAGTTCAAGATTTGGCATTTGCGGTTGCACGGTTCACACAAAAAGGTGGCTCATTTGTTAATTATTACATGGTAAATGAACTTCCTCAGCAAAAAGAAAATGCAACATTCATATTGAACATGTTATACATGATCTTGATTGACGTAACTATTTCTTCGCTTTCTTGCCTTAACTATTCCTTCTTTTCACAGTTTCATGGGGGAACCAACTTTGGACGCACAGCGGGAGGACCTTTTATAACAACAAGCTATGATTATGATGCTCCGATTGATGAATATGGTGAGATTAATCAGTTTAGTCCACATTTTTCAGCAGAATTAAAGCTTATCATGACTAGAAAGTCCTTTTGTGCATGAATATGGACACAGAATCAAAGTTATATATTAGTTCACGTTATCATTATCACTACGAAGACAATGTTTAGGGCGTGTCCTTTTATTTCATGACATAATCAAACTCTAGATTGAACTTTTGGTTATCAGCTAACTTCTTACCCTCATATTTTATCAGGTTTGATCAGGGAGCCTAAATACAGCCATCTAAAGGAGCTCCACAAGGCGATTAAACTATGTGAACAGGCTTTAATATCCTCAGATCCCACTGTTATTTCACTAGGAAGCTCTCAGGAGGTTAGTCCTCAATTAATAAGGGTCAAAAATATTATATGTGTTTTACTATTTTGTGTTGCTGAATCAACAAAGTCATTTATTTTAGGCTCATGTATTCTCGTCTGGCAAAAGAAACTGTGCAGCATTTCTCTCAAATTACGACAGCAACTCTGCTGCTAGAGTAGTTTTTAACAACAAGCACTTTAATCTTCCTCCTTGGTCCATAAGTATTCTTCCAGATTGCAAGCATGTTGCCTTCAATACAGCAAATGTAAGTACCTTTTTAGTATAATGTGCTCTTCTCGTTGTCATTCAATCTATTTTTGCTGAACAGAATTACTAGTAGTTATGTGCTTTACCTTTCAGCTTAGTGATTTGAAACATCCTTTTCTTTCTAAGGTTGGGGCGCAAACTTCACAAGTGAAAATGATACCAACTGGTTCTCAGCTGCACTCTTGGGGGGCTTACAGCGAAGATGTATTTTCTCTAGAGGACGGTTCAACATTTGCAGCTAATGGACTATTGGAGCAGATAAATATCACCAGAGATAACAGTGATTACTTGTGGTACATAACAAGGTGAAGTTCATATATAAGCAGAAAATTCATCCAACATGAGTACATAAACCTTCTAATTACATCTAAATAATTTCTACTGTCCCAGAAATGTAAGTGTATTGCCAAAACTTCTGGGGCAAAACTTTCTCTAATATGATATTTACCTGTAATGCAGTGTTGATATTAGTCCCTCGGAATCATTTCTGCGAGGAGGACAGAAACCGACTCTCAGTGTCCACTCAAGTGGGCATGCAGTTCATGTCTTTGTAAATGGGAAACTTTCAGGATCTTCTTATGGTAGTCGGAGGGATACAAAGTTCACTTTCACAGGACCAGTTGATCTGCAGGCCGGAACCAATAGAATTGAGCTACTGAGCATTGCTGTAGGCCTGCCGGTTAGTTTCTCATTGTTACCACCTATAATACTTATCTACAAGAAAGGAGAAGGCAACTTCTTCTGATTCTTTCATTGCTGCTAGACTACCACTGTGTAATTAGTGATTCATTTCAGGCAGAAACAAATGTCATTCTACTTGTGTTACTCTATGCTGCTGGACTAATAGTTTTTCTATCTCAATTGAATTTAAATACTCTTGTTGACGTGAAGAATATTGGACTGCATTACGAGGAATGGAACACAGGAATACTTGGGCCAGTTGTTCTTCAAGGTCTCAACCAGGGCCATAAAGATTTATCGTCGCAGAAATGGACATACAAAGTACTGAATCTTACCAAACTTCCATTGTTTCTTTTGCTTTCAAAATATTGACAGTAAAGTTTCTTCGAAATATAATATGTTGTCGATACTCCTTAAACAGGTCGGATTGAAAGGAGAAGCAATGAACTTGATCTCTCATCATGGAGTGTCTTCAGTTGATTGGATTGGTGGTGCACTAGCTACCCAGGGACAGCAACCACTTAAATGGTACAAGGTAAAAAAAAATAGTGATAACTGAGAAGTTTACTTTAGGTTGTATTTTGTAGGAGTTATAGTCATGCTAGAGATTTATATTCCCGTAGAAAATATAGTGAATTAGTACTTTCTTATTTTTTATAATATCGGTTTGTGATGAGCTTAAATGGAGGGACATGTTTAGTAAAGATTCATATAGCAGACCCCAACTTGCATGGGATTGAGACATAGTTATTACTATTGTTTATAATAGGGATTTGTTGCTGGAACTTACGACTCGTCTTGGAATGTATGTTTCAGGCTTATTTCGATGCACCAGAGGGAAATGACCCTGTGGCCCTAGACATGAGAAGCATGGGTAAGGGACAAGTTTGGATCAATGGACAAAGCATAGGTAGATATTGGACAGCAACTGCTAATGGCAATTGTGATGCTTTCCACTATGCTGGAACTTACAGACAAACTAAATGTCAACTTGGTTGTGGTCAACCAACTCAGAAATGGTAGTTCTTGAAATTTTTATTAGTTCTGCCATCACTAGAAGCATGTTACTGCTTAAATTTCCTTTGTATCAGTAAATACACATTAGAATTTCCTAACTAATCGTTTGTCTATTCGGCTTCTCAGGTACCATGTCCCAAGGTCTTGGTTGAAACCAACAGAAAATTTGGTCGTCTTGTTCGAGGAACTAGGTGGTGATGTATCAAAGATATTGTTAGTGAAAAGGACAACTTCATGAGTTCAGTTAGTTTAGGAAACGTCACCAGTAGGAAGGAATTCTGTAGGTTTTTGATTATTAGGGATAAATCCATGCTATAGAGTCACATTTCTTGGAAAAAGCCAAGATCTAGGAGAATTTCTGGTTTTACATCTATTAGAATATATACACCACTTTGCGTGGTGGATGGATGTATATGTTTGACGTCTTCTGTTCCCAGTCACAGTTTGGTGTCTCACATTCTTTCTGACATTGTGTAACCAATGACCTTCATCAAGAAAATAACTAGACAAAAGGTCTCAAGTCATATTTCATATCCATTTCTGAACGAGCAAAAGGGAATATTTATCACTGTCCTACTATAAACTGGATCTCTTGCAGTCGAAATGTAACAAAATACGGCTCCTGTCATATCGAGGGTCTACCGGAAACAACCTCTCTACCTTATGTCATCTCTACCTTCATAAGGTAGGGGTAAGGTCTGCGTACACATTATCCTTCCCAGACCCCACTTGTGGGACTTCACTAGGTTTGTTGTTGTTGTTGTTGTTGCGGCTCTTGTCATATGCAGCGGCAGCAAATTTTGGTTCCCAATGATTTTTAAACTTGTATCAGGCCAAGAAATGTTGCTTGTGCAAAGGATACACGCACACACACATTCAGAATTGCTCACATATGCTGATAATGTACTAAGAGCAGTGAAAGATGTATTAACTTGTAAATAAGTCCAGTGCTGTCGTAGCAAAATGGAAGCTTCACAAGAGTAAAGCTGGAAAATAGTCTTTTGATAGAAATGGTTATATAGCCTTGCACCATGTGCACATATCAGATTCCAAACCAAAACAAAGGTTCATAAAAGCATGATGTATAATCAACAAACAACAATTCATAGATCAAAATTCGATCCAGGGGAGTATATATGTTGCTTTATTTAGAATAAGCCATTATGCTTTGCCACTTTGCGTGGTGAATGTATATGTTGGTGCATCCTGTTCCTCATTCTAGTGAAATTTATGTTCAAACATAAATTCTAACTTCCAAAATATACTTGGACTTAAAACTTAAACACTATGTTTTACAATTTCAACCAAAGTTAATTGTCCAAACGCGTTCTCAAAGATATGCTGAGATGCTGGATAATGTACCGAGAGAACCAAACGTTCAAAGCAATTGTAAATAAGTCAGTGCTATCCAAGCAAAATGAGAGCTTCACAACAGTAGAAATCTGAAAATAGTCTTTCTGTAGAATTGGGCATATAGCCTAACATCAGTAACACCAAATGCACAAATCAGATTCCAAGCACCAAGACAAAGGTTTCACAAAAGCAATAAAAACATGGTGGATAATAAAACATACAATCATCCTTACTTTGAAGTTCGAACAAGTTACTTGGTTATTACAGAAGACAATACTAAATATGGGATTTGATTAAGGAGATTCATGCTGTCACCGTAGCAGGAGCAGCATGCTTCACTATGGTCTGCTGCAACTCCTCTTTTTTGGCACCAACAACCCTGTCCACTTCCTTCCCATCTTTAAGAAAGACAAATGTTGGCATTGCCTCCACACTCCATTCCTCCGCAACAGTCTACAAAAAAGTACCAAGAATCACAATCAATCGCTAAACATACTAGTCAAAGTACGATTATTAAGTTGATACAAAATTTGATTGGAGATGTACCTTCAGTTCATCAACATCAACCTTGAGGAATATAACATGGGGCATCTTCTTAGCAATCTCAGCAAGAATTGGGGCAATAAAACGGCAAGGGCCGCACCAGGAAGCAGTAAAATCCACCACCACCTGAAATAAAGAGTTGTTTTTTACATAAGTTCGATGAGTTAAAAGAGAAGATTTACCCCTAACAACTTTTGAAAATCTGAGGCATATTTAGAAGCTACCATCATTCTGCACTATAATTTTACCTTATCTAACAGCTAGGGGCTGATGTATAGTGCCACGGCTTATGTTCATCTAGTTAAAGACGGGGGCATATCTAGTGTAGGGAGTAAAAATTTATAAGTAAAAATACATTATAATTGTAAAAGTAGTAGACATAAACCCATAACTTTAAGAATAATGAGTTTTTAGATTAACCCATATAGTTTAAATTCTAAATACGCCTTTGGTTAAAGAGTTTGTAAAATGCATATGCCTATACTAGGTTTTGAATCCAATGTCACAAAGCAATAGTGATGTATAAGATAGATTTAAACCAGACAAGTTCTAAAAATCTGAGGTATGTTTAGGTGTACTACCATCATTCTATACTATATTTGGCGAAGCAACTAGGCTTGACATTTAGTACCTTCGGCTCAACTTATGTACAAACAATTAACTTTTTAATAAAATAGTACTTACACTAAGTTGGACTCTAATGTCACAATAAAAAACAATGGTTGCAATTATATTCATTCCACAGAGCTGATTTAAAATCCTAGATTAGCTCATCTTTAAACAACTAAATAATCAGAAAAGTAACAAAGGTAAGCATGATATCAACTTTATAATTGGGTCATGTCTTCAACAGAGATCGACTTATCAATTCTTCACATCCTCCGAAAGCGAAAAATTGCAGAAATATGACACCATAAGAGGTGGTCTTGAATTTTTGTGCCGGGCTTGGCGTAGCTGGTAAAGTTGCTACCATGTGACCAGGTAAAGTTGCTGGCTCGAGAGCCGTGGAAACAGCCTCTTGCAGAAATGCAGGGTGCAGCCGGCTGCATACGATAGACCCTTGTGGTCGGCCCTGCGCGCAGGGGGAGCTAAGTGCACGCCCTTTTTTTTCTTGCCTCATGGGCGAAACTTCAAGGTCGAAAGTCAAAAATAGCGACCTAGCTGAACTTTTTCGTCCAACCTAACAGCAACATAGCAACTATATCTAGCAATTTGTTCCAATATCGCAATTATGCGAATCAATATACTAACAGAAACATCAAATCAAAGGCAAACATGTTACAATTAACTGAAAACCAAACAACGAATATTAAAGGCTTAAACTTTAAGCAACAACAGAAACAGATCAGAAAAATGTAAGCAAACGAAACCCCAAAATCAACAAAGTCTCATACAATAAATCGCAACAACAAAAAAACCATTTTTAAAATCAAACAACAAACAAAAACCAGCACACAGAATATACTAACAAATAAGTCAAAGTAACAAAAGCAAAATTACTAAGAAAAAGTCAAAAGTAATAAAACCATACCAATTTCTTAGTCTCCACACCTTTCTGGAAGTGCTCGTTCCATTCCTCAATCTTGTGGCAGCCGAACACTTGTCCCTCCTCAGATGAAGCTGCAGCCATTTCTCACAAATTTCTTAGAAGCAAAAAAATTCAAACAACCAAACAAGCCCTTAACTTTAGCTCCTCGTAAAACTAACGCTGAATGAGAGTGTATTCCCAAGTAGAGACTTTTATATAGGGACAGGGAGGTAGTAAATTACCAAAATGTAACTGATTTTAAGCTTTATTACGAATTAACCATACGCGTCATAGTGTGAACACTTTACTCGGTCGGTCTAAATTTTTTGCAAATATCACATTAAGGGTCGTTTGGTAGTAGATATTGGAAAAAATAATTAGTTATACATCATACTTGGTATTATCATATGTATAAGTAATGCATAGAAAACTATGACATTAGTAATATCAAGGCTATTAATACATGTATTAGTATGGTTAAAGACAAAATTGTCCTTAAAGTCCCTTAAAGCTAAAGAATATGAAGAATATTTTTCTTAAAAATTATGCAATGCATTATTTGTGAAAGATTCCTGTGAAAAGTTTCATTAACACGGAATTCGTGTCGAGTAGAAGACTCACAAGAGGCTGTTGAAACCAGAAGAGGTCTTTATTTTCATTTTTTTTATCCTATGGATTGTTTTATAGCGGTACGATTACGATGCTTGCTCCGAATGGAAGAGAGACAGAAGAAATAAGATAAGTAATTAATTTAGAATTCCCCGTCGCTCATATTCATTACCGTAGGAATTGGGTTCAAGCTTTCCCCAGCCCCTTCTCATCAATGGACGCTTTCGGAACCATACTTCCTACAGCTAACATGTGTCCAGTCCAGCGGGAACGCGCAGCGCAAACGAACCTGAGCTGCTATACCGAATCCCCCGCTGGCCATCGGGGGGGATTCCTTGGATAAAGTGGAAAAATGCNTAACTTGTGATGCTCTCACCACAAGACACTTTGTCACTCTACAGTTACAAAGGCTTTTGTCACTCTAACTTGTAATAACCCTATTACAAGCCACTTTATAATAACTCTATTCCAAAGGCTTTACAACTAGACTAACTCTAGCCAAGACACAAACTTGGAGGGATAGTGATTTTGGGTTTCCTAAAATAGCTTCTAAGAAAGCAAGATAGGAGTTACTATTGAAGAACAAATAATAAAGACTCAACAAACTTAAGGACTTAAGACATCTTCAATCTTGGATCCGGTCCTTGAGATTGAAGCAGCTTTGTTCTTGAGAGAGGTTGTTGCAAGCACTTGAGAGAGGATTTTTGTTTCTAATTTTGCAAGTCTTGGAACATGAATTTTGTGCCTTGCATAAGGTTTATACTACAAAAGACATTACCTTAGTGATGTCCAATCTTAATGGGAGGTGACTGATGTACTGTCTATTGCACTGTTTGTTGCACTATTGCAGGCAGTCACTTTTTACAGTTGTTTTCCAACTGTACAGTTGACTTATACCTCTGTCAGGGGAACACCATGGTATCAGGTCCCTAATCTGGTTCCTGTGAATCTAAAGCACACTGCCCAGATTATCTTGAGTCGATTAACTTGAATGATTGTACCAGACATACTTCAGGTCTTTTTTCTGATTCTCTCATGAAGTAAGTCATTTTACCTTCCTTGATTGTATTTATACATATGTGACATCACTTACAATGATGCAAGCAAGATTGGTAAAAAGCCTTTCTCAAAAAGTTGATTGTTGCTGCACTAGGTCTGGGCATATATCGGGTATAACCGATAGCCCAAACCGAAAACGCTTATTGGGGTATCGATATCGTTATTGAGTTAACGGTTCGGTAACGGATTAATATTTTTTCACTATTAGGTTAGCGGTTCGGGCTTCGGTTTGCCCAATTTCTTAACGGGTAAACCGATAACCCAATAAAAATTAGAAATATTTCAGTTGTGTTAGGACAACTGTTGAATTACTAATACTCTTGTTGCTCTTGCTATAATTAGACTCTGAAGAAAGACATTGATCTCTTGATTATGGTTTGGCAGGAAATCAAAAAATTATTATTTATGTTCCTGTTAACTTCTATTTCTAGCGAATTGGAGATGAAATGCTTGTAGAGATGTAGTATTAATTTTTGATATTGCACAGATCTTGAATTTGTCAAAATGAAGCATGCTTCAAATATTAGTTGTGGCTAGAATGCAAAAATGGGTAGTATACTATATGTGAATTCTTCTCTTTTTTTCTTTACTCCGGTGAATTGTCTTTTTTTCTTAACTCTAGATTGAGTTATCTTATCGGGTAAATTGATAACCGAACCAATAATGGTCAATAACTAATTAACCGATAACCAATAAGTGATATCTTATCAGTTTGGTTATCGGTTTATCATATTTGTAAACCGATAACCGATATGCTAAATCGATAACATTCACAACCGAACCAAACCGACCGATGCACACCCCTATGTTGCACTATTCCTGTACAATAGCGTGAGCAGGCAACAACTTTCCTGCTGGAGAGTTGACTTCATACTGTCTCCTCAGGAATAGGTAAGGACATGTTCCCTAAGCTATTCCTTCTACTCTACCTCACTCGAGTCATTGCTATCAGCTTTGAGTACCGGATTTTTTTCTTTCTTTGTTTCTCTTCTTTCACTGTCTATCTTCCTCTTCATCTCGTAGGTCTTCAGATTTTCAACCAGCTCTTTGATCGAGGCCAACCTTGCACCACTACAAAGTAGCGAGAGTGGTCGAAACAGCTTTTACCCGAGAAGGTCGGGATCGATTTCCACTGGGAGCTAGAAATGGGAATTGAGTTTCTATCTAAATTAGAGATGTGTAATTGCTCCTAATTGCACTTCTAATCATAATTGGTCTTTTGATTACCTCTAATATTATACTATTAAGATGCTAAATTCATCTAAGAGTGAAATACTTGAAGGTTGTCTAAATAGTTAAGAAGGCACTAGGGGAGTGACTTTCTCCTAGGTGGATACTTGATTAGAGATTCTAAATTAGAGATGTGTAATTGCTCCTAATTGCACTTCTAATCATAATTGGTCTTTTGATTACCTCTAATATTATACTATTAAGATGCTAAATTAATCTAAGAGTGAAATACTTGAAGGTTGTCTAAATAGTTAAGAAGGCACTAGGGGAGTGACTTTCTCCTAGGTGGATACTTGATAGGTTCTCGAGTCTAAGGCTAGGTTGTTATGTTGGGGATTATGCTATAACCGATGCACGATACTCCTCACTCTATACCTCTCGGTAGTGTGACGATCCGGATAGTTATCTCATGAATTACCGCCCCATTTTTCCTATTTCTACTTTGTTATGCTTTGTTTATCCGTGTTATGTGGTATCAGGTTAGTCGGATCGGGTTCGGAAAAGATTTGATAAGGTATGAGACACTTAATCTCTTTACAATGAGTTTAAGTTGGAATAGTCAACCGGATGTTGACTTATGTGTTAGAGGACTCAGATGTGAGTTCTGATGGTTCAGTTAGCTTCGAGAGGTGATTTTTCGCTTAAGAACGCGATCAGAATAAATTTTGGAGGTCCGTAGTAGATTTAGGCTTAAATTGGCGAAGTTGATATTTTGGCGATTTCGTTGATAGGCGAGATTTTGATATAAAAGTCGGAATGGAATTCCAAGAGTTATAGTAGTTTTGTTGTGTCATTTGGGATGTGTGTGCAAAATTTCAGGCCATTCGGACGTGGTTTGGTTGGGTTTTTTATCGAAAACGTAATTTGGAAAATTTTAGAAAGTTTGGTTTGAATCCGATGTGTTTTGGGTGATTTGATGTTGTTTGAAGTGTTTTGATGATTGGAACAAGTTTGAACAAGTTATTAAGATATGTTGGTACTTTTGGTTGAGGTCCCGGGGTCCTCGGGATGATTTCGGATGGACGGGAAGGTTTGCGACTTGTGAAATTTCAGAAACCTTGCTGCTTCAAGCCACAAAAGCGGTTTTGGAGGGGAGAGTCAGGAATCCGCAAATGCGGTTATGGGGCCGCATTTGCTGAACCGCAAATGCGGAAGAATGACCGCAGATGTGGATGTGGCCGATTTTAGTGATTTCCGCAGAAGCGGAGTAGTAACCGCAAATGCGGTACCGCAGAAGCGGTGGATGGTCGGAGATGCAAAAATCCCTGGACAGAAGGTATATATTGCTTTCTTCGCGAATTTTTGCAAAGAACTCCATTTTTGAATACGGGAAAAAGGCTAAGGCATAGGATCTCGAGAAGAATCAAAGGATATCGGTTGGGTAAGTTCCGTAAGCTTAATTACTTGGGTTAAGATTATTTTTCCACTGTTTAATCATGATTTTAGTGGAGATTAAGGGCTAAAAATGGAGGATTAGGGCTTGAGTTTAAGAGGCCTTAAATTGAGGATTTGAGGGGTCATTTGGACTCCGATTTTAGTGTTCTTGATATGCATAGACTCGTGGGGAGATGAGGAATCTACTGATGTAAAAATTTCTGAATTTCGAGACGTGGGTTCGGGGGTCGGGTTTTGGTAATTTCGGGATTTGTGCCATTTATTGATTGTTTTCACTCGGGCTTCGTTCCCTTAGCATATTTTGACGTCCTCGTTCTGATTTTGGATAGATTCGATGCACGTGGAGGCCGATTCAAGGGGCAAAGGCATCGCGGAGTAGTATTTTCACCGGTTTGAGGTAAGTAACCATTGTAAATCTGGAACTGAGGGTATAAAACCCCGATATTTGACTTGTTTTGATAAATGCGGTGGCGCACATGCTAGGTGATGAGTGTGTGGGCGTGCACCGGTATGGATCGTGACTTGGTCCATCCCATGGCGACTATTAAGCCGCGTATTTGATTTGGAAATATTATGTTATTCCGTATTTTGGATACTTATGTTGTATTATGGGTTGTATGCCATGTTTAGGGCCTTGTGTCGACCTGTAGAAACCCTTAGGGGCAGTTTGACTGTTTTTCCTTACTTCACTTGCTAGAAACATATCCTCAGTCTTGTTACTGGTTTTATTACTCTACTCCTAGTTGTGACGACTGTTTGGGCTGAGTTCCCTAATTTCTATTGTGGTACCTGAAAGGCTGTAAGATTAAAGACTGAGAGAGGTTGAGAACCTAACTGTGAGGATATTTATATATATAAGTTGGATCGGGCTGCACGCCGCAGCGATACTTATGTGGATCGGGATGCAC